GTCTGTCGATGCCATAATAAATATTTGCAACCGAAAAATAAAAATATAAAAAACCTTTATAATAATAATAATAATAATAATAAAAAGGTACTTTTTTTGGATATTGTTTAATATAATAATTTTGTCATACCTGACAATGACGTTTTCGCCGTTTTGTTTTCTTTGTCTTACTTCTAAAAACAATTTCTTTCTAATGGTTGCTGTTTCCTGTGAATAGTTTTTATTTACATATATATTAAGTCCTTTAAGTCAATTCGTTTCTTTTAAGATTTTAGATTTATTCTTTTATCTAAGTAGCTTTATTACGATTGTTCTTGATTGTTCTTCTTTTTTTACTCCTGTACGATGTGCTCTTTCAATCTCAGTTCTTTCAACGGCCAATTTTTCAGATAAGAATTTCAGGATCTTTTCTTCTGTTCCTTTCCATGTTTCATTTTTGCTTTCATGTATGCCGTCAATTCTTAGGTTGTTTCGTCTTGACCTATCTTCAGCTCTTCTGGGTTTTTCGCTGATTATTCTTATCATGTTTTCACTCTCTTTTTCATTGATATCCTTAGCGCATTTGATTTTTGTCTCTGTTATTTGTCTCTGTTATTTGTTCTTTTAGGTCTTGTTAGCTTTTTTCTATTATTTTTATTTTTGAATGGCTATCCAATATTTTACTTTCAACAGCATTTAAACGTGCATTGAATATTCTTAAATTTGCACTTACGATATGAACAAACACTTTCTCCTGTTGTTTCAGCAATATTTTCATTTCTTTTTTATATTCGTTAAACATTACCGTAAGCATATCCCCTATTTCTTGTAACGTAACTGTCATGTTCAAATTTGTAAGTATATGAAGATAAGATATTTCAATTTTGCTTTGTCAATATATATAAGTATAGTCGTCCATAAATATATATAGTTATAGTCGTCCATAAATATATTTAAGTATAGTCGTCCATAAATATATATAGTTATAGTCGTCCATAAATATATTTAAGTATAGTCGTCCATAAATTACACCATAATTTACATCGTGGTAAAGTATTAAACAAAACATAAAAGATTGCAAAGCATTTAATTAAATAAAAAAAATTAAATTATTGATAAAAGTTGCCGCGCAAAAGAGTAAATGATCTCCTATCTCTATTTTTAAATAAATTTAGAACTTGTGTAATTTATAGAACACCGCGGAAGATCATTTTACTAGAAAGTTCACGCCTCCTTCCTTATCAATGTCGCATAATGGGTTAGAGCCAAAATACTAATGGGTTAGAGCCAAAATTCTAACCACTGCGTCACAACTGTAGTGGTTAGAGTTCTTCATATTTAGGCATATATCATAACAATTACCGGATTTTTGTATCGCATTATAGCGCTGCATTATATTGCATTAAGGATTTTTAAGTAGAATTTTTGCTGTTATAATCTATGACGTAAATCAGTTTTGGCTTCACTTCTTTTAATACTGATTTACGACAGTTATATATATCAGAATTTTTGTTTATAATTGCCACTATATCATATTATGTGATATAGTGGCTAGCCACTATATCGCATGATGAAAACCATATTATCGGCTAGCCACTTTTGGCGTCTGCCACTTTGCATAGTAATATTAACCCTAACAATAATAACCCTATTTAATCAATATCAACCCTAATAATACTAACCTTATTTAATCAATTTAAACCCTAATAACACCAACCCTATTTATCAATATTAACAACATCTTTTGATAGGTGGTTTTTACTAAAAATTAATAAACTTGTTAAAACTTTTTTTCGTCATCTATACAAATACTTTTATAGTTAATCAATTGTAGTGCTATCTTAGAAGTTCCCTGGGTAATCAACTAAGACATCAAAGAAAATATTTCATGATTGGAACTGGTCAGACATGAAATCAAATAGTCTAAACCATTTCTTTAAATTTTATTATTCTATGCAAATATTGCATGGTGTAGCTCTAATGTAAGTAAAGTTAAAAAATTGCTTAGTAGACATAAATACGCTGTCAGGATTATTTCAAATGCAGGTCGATTCGCACATTCTAATGAACTATTCAAAAATCATCATATACTCAATGTTCTTCAGTTAAATCTTTATCAAATTCTTATATTTATGTACAAACTACATAATAAATTAACTCCTATAATTTTTAATACATTTTTCAATAAAATTAATCACGTGTACCCTACAAGATTTTCAAATTACAATTACAAGAAACCTAAAATACACTATTTGGCTACTAAATTTTCTATTGCCATGAGAGGTCCTAAATTATGCAACACTTTATTAAATAACCAGCTAAAAAATTGTTCTTTACTTTCTCTATTTAAACAAAAACTTCTTAACGATGTTAATGAATTCTTTTTAAGATCTTGATTTTACCTCTTGATTTTAATGGTTATACACGCTTGCTGATGAAAGCACGTCAGGGTGTAGTGATAAGATAAAAAAAGTTATTTCGCTTGCTGATGAAAGCACGTCAGGGTGTAGTGATAAGATAAAAAAAATTATTTCGCTTGCTGATGAAAGCACGTCAGGGTGTAGTGATAAGATAAAAAAAATTATTTCGCTTGCTGATGAAAGCACGTCAGGGTGTAGTGATAAGATAAAAAAAATTATTTCGCTTGCTGATGAAAGCACGTCAGGGTGTAGTGATAAGATAAAAAAAATTATTTCGCTTGCTGATGAAAGCACGTCAGGGTGTAGTGATAAGATAAAAAAAATTATTTCGCTTGCTGATGAAAGCACGTCAGGGTGTAGTGATAAGATAAAAAAAATTATTTCGCTTGCTGATGAAAGCACGTCAGGGTGTAGTGATAAGATAAAAAAAATTATTTCGCTTGGTTAGAAGTTCTTCGTTCTTTAGAAGATTTCTTACGCCTATAGGAAAAATCTTCCAAATTTTCTTCTGAAAATTTCTTAGCATTTATGATGAAACTAGAATCTGCATTTACCTTCAGTACATTCTGTTAAAATTCATACGATAATTAGCCAACAATAGGTAGGTAGCGTTCATTAAAAGAATTTTCTGCTCTTTTTTCAATGAATGGATGCTTACCTAGTGACAAAAAATATCTTGATAAAGCTAAATTTGTTTACAAAACTCTATAGATTGCTGAATTTAAAAATAAGTAACGAATTTAAATAAACGACAAAACCCAATGGGCAAGGTGCGTAAAAAAAGACGTCTTTTATACGTCTTTTGAACGTTTTGGACGTCTTTTGAACATTCAAAAGACTTTTTTAGTACCTGTACCCACTGGGAATCGATATACACAAAAGTCAAAAATCTTTCAAACATTTCACACGAACTACGTGAAAAGAACAGCCGCTTCCTTTGAACATCATAATTCCATTTAAAACATTATAATTTCCAGATTGAGAAATCGGAATTGCAATTGCCTCGACCAAACGCCATACACTTTTGTTTACATAATAATTCTTTTAAATTGTGTAATTTTAAATTTGAAACACTCTCAGTTTTTTCATTAAAAACTTATTTAGATCTGTAAATTTTGGGGTCAGTTTGTTTTGAGTAGGTATGAAATTTCGAATCATAATCACGCTTCTTTCTTTACCAAAGTTGTATATATGGCTCGAACCACGGAAATCCAGTTTTGAAGCCAGAACTCTAATCACTACACCACAGCTGCTTAAAACTTACTCATTTAAATATCAGATGAAAAAGATAAAATAAGAATAATTTTGTATATTTTTCAGTTAAAAATTATTTAAAAACTCACAACTTTATTACAAATAATGCCAAAAATTAAACATTTTTTTTTTTAATTTTAATTATCTAGGTGCTACAAAAAATACTTATTTTAAACTTTTTTTTTTTAGTTTTGTTCAGTTATTTAAGTGCTACAAATCCTGTTTTGTTTCTTATCTACATTAGTGTTCTTTCCGACAACCTACATCTAGAGTAGCTCTTTTTGCTGGTGACTCAACTTTATACTCCTGTCTTAACAAAAAGTCTTCATTGTCTTTTAATAAAACACCACGGAATAGCAATTAACAAGGAAGTTCACTCCTCCTTTCTTGCAAACGTTGCATATATGGTTATTGCTATTTTCGAACCGCGGACCTCCAATTCTGAAGTCATAACTCAGCCATTACACAACGGCTGATTTTATTTACATTGGAAAAATTGCTCCAAGTTTATTTTTAAAATATTTATTTTATTAAAAAAAAATCTAAGGAGCGATTTAGGAGAGTCAGTAGTCTGATTAACAGTAACTAAACAGCACAAGCTTAAGTTATTACGCGACGAATGGAGAGTGAGTTGTGACGAGTTAGGTCTTTTTTTAGAATATTGATCTGGTCACCACTTAATTAATAAATGCAGCCGAAAAAGTTTTACTAAGAAACTTGGTACCTAGGTAGGCTTAGTAAAACTTTTTCTTATAACTACTTCAGGCTATAAACTTAAGTTACACAAATTTAAGTGTCAACTTAATGTTCGTAAATATTCTTTCTTTCTCAGAATTATTAATATTTAGATATAATAACCTGTCATCTAATGTCGAAAATGATTATTATATTAAAAGATTTAAAACAAAAATTAACTCCATCAATTTTGAAAAATACTGTTCTTGCAAACTGAATCTTGTGTAACAGTTTTTGTCAAAGTTGTACTTTTTCTCTTATATTTGTAACCTTCATACTTATTTTATTTATATGGGGCACGCTGTCTTATTTTTTTTATGCCCTCGTATCTTTTAAAACATGTATTACTGTTCTAATAAATTTAAATCAAATCGACAATCATGTGCGGAATTTTTTAACAGACAAAAATAATTGAATTGATGAAAAGGTATACAAATTAAAAACAAACGCAATAAATTAGACTGTTTATCAAGTTGAAAACTTTTTAGTGAAAGTAAATTGTAAAAGGAAGACAAAAATTTTGTTTCAAAGTGAGGACGGAGGACGGTTCACCCAAGCTTAGTGTCAACGGCCCAATTGTCATTAAATAAACTTGAGCGACAAAACGGTGATTGCCGTAAATTTACGATCTCTGGCTGGTCTCGATTTTTGGCATAACAAAATTTAAAATAAATTTTTGAATTATTTTTCTGAATTATTTTTTATTAACAAAATTCCTAATAATCTTAATGAAATGTCCGACGATTATAACCCATTCATAGATCAGTCAAATGATGATAGTTGTAACCCTTTTGACGATCAAGAACAAGACGAAGACTTATACGCTAATAAATCTGAAAAATCAACTAAATCGTCAACACAGGTTGGTTATTATGTTAACCAAAATACTTCCAACATAAATAAAAGTGTAAAATGACAATATCAAAATAATTTAAATAGTTTTTAACAAAATAAATTAGTGATAAAAGTTGTAAATCTCTAAACAAATAAAAAAAAAAAAACATTTTAAAACAATTATTAAATAATAACATTTATGAGTTCCTAAACCAATATATTGTATTCTTAAAAAATTTTTTTTTGAAACACTTCAAATAATAAGTTTATATAATAAAAAATATTTTTAACTTTAAATAAATGTATTTATGTTGTAAAATAAGAAATTATCAGTAAAAATGTAGAGTTGTATTGTTAAAAAGTCAACAAAAAATTTTAAGATCATGTTTATTAAGATCAAATTCGTCCTTTTTATGTTAAATAGTGCAGTAAGAAACTTTAAAACAATAGAGTTTTTAAATATTACCCTATAAAGAAAAGAAGATATTGGTTACCTTATTGTTTACCCTCTGTTGATTTATACAATTATTATTTTTACAGTTTAATTGGCCTGAGATGTCATTTATCATTTTAGTAATAAATTCCTTTCAACAGACTTCAGCAAGTTTCACTTGAAAATCTTGAAATTACATTTAACCCAGGTTTTCAGGTTATAAAACAGATAGAGAATGAGAATGTGAATTGGTATAATACAAGTTTAAATGATTAAATTTAAGTTTTTAAATAATGTATCATATCCAATATTTTCCTTCTTCAGTTATTCTTTTCTGGTATTTTGCTCTTTTTAGTATTTCTTCCAAAACTTTTAAAATCTTTTTTTGGACAAACTTCAAAACAGGTGAACAATTTATTAAATAAGGTTAAACGAAGGTTGAATTTAATCTAATGAACAAATGCCTGCTCTTTAATTATGTCCATGAAAATGGTGTCGGTGGTTCCGATTTTTAAAAAATCTGGAAAACATTCTGACTTCTCCAACTATTGTCTGATCAGTCTTCTTTTTCTTATTAGCAAGGTGTTTTAGTTTTTGATCAATTAATTTCAAATGTCCTATCTTGAGTCAAATAGTTTACTGTCAGACAATCATACAGTTTTTGTTCTATGGCTGACTTGCTATCTGCTGTGACTGAAAGAATTCATTTTGCATTATTTAGGGGCAGCAAGCCTATAGTTATTCCTCTTGACATATCTAAAGCTTTTGACAAAGTTTGGCATGCTGGTCTTCTCCATAAGCTTACTTTATATGATGTATCTGGAAATGTTTTTGAGATTATCAAATCATTTCTTTGTAATAGCTTTATTTAAGTCATCCTCTAAGGCTAACACTCTTCTTCATTTCTAGTAATTTATGGGGTATCCCAAGGTTTAATCCTTGGTCTTTTTTTGTTTCTTATCTACATTAATGATCTTCCTGACATCCTTACATCTTAAATGGCTCTATTTGTTGATTACTTAACTTTATACTCTTGACAAAAAGTCTTTTCTTTTTGATTGTTTAGAAAAGGCAGCCGATTATGAATCTGATCTATCTTCTGTAACTTGGTGTTGCAGTGGCTTGCAAATTTTAACTTAAATAAAAGTTAGTTGTTTATTGCAAACAATTTTTGCAATATTGTTGACCTATTTTGATAAATAGCAACTCTCTCACAGTCCTCTTCTTTTCTTCGTCTTGAGTTATAGTTCATTACTTTTATAGTTCATTATATATATATATATATATATATATATATATATATATATATATATATATATATATATATATATATATATATATATATATATATATATATATATATATATATATATATATATACATATCTACTATAGCATATTTATATGCGCAATTGCTCACTTTTCTTGCTATTCTAATTTAAGTGAGCATTTTTAGAAAACGATGAGAAAATTATTTTACATATATATATATATATATAAATATATTATATATATAAATATATATAATATATTTATATATATATATATATATATATATGTATATATATATATATATATATATATATATATATATATATATATATATATATATATATATATATATATATATATATTTATATATATATATATATTTATATATATATATATATATAATTTTTTTTTTGACAGCTTAAATCGTATTTGGCTTCTGATTTTAATTATCAAATTAAAAATTGAGGACCTTTTTTTCTTATTACATCAATATTGTTGTTTTTTTTTGCGGAAAAACGCCTATATTCCGCAATGTTTTGTCAAATTTCTGCAGGATGGGGGTGCTGGGGGGTGGTGGTGGTAGTGGTGGGGGTGTTGGAAAGGGGTTAAGTATATCTAAAGTGATTTATTAGGTGCGCCTAAAGCAATTTTGGTGAAACAAGTTTTTATCATTTTTAAACTTTTCAATTATTCAATAAGTAGTAAGATAAAAGTAGTAACTGAAAATATAAAAAATTCACTTCAACTTTTAAAATTATATAAAAAAGTTTGTTACAAAAGTTTGAATGAGAATTATGTTGGATATATTTGGTGTTTACAAATTGAAAAAAAATTCAGATAAAATTAAAAATAAAGAAAATTTTATTTATTTAAAAAAAATTAATAAATGTTTAGAAGGTACTACTGGCTTAATCTTGATAAAAGACTTCAATTCTGTACCTCAGAAGACAAAGGTCGGTTGTCCAGTTTTTTGTGAAAATGAGTTATTTATGAGACCTTTTTAGTTTTTTCAGTATCTACACAGTGGTATAAAGACTATTGTCCTACGACAATGTTAAACAAAGTTAGGTCAATATAAAAGGTCTGGTGTCCCCACAATGTTCAAACGAAAAATGTCAGTTGTCCAGAAACAACTTTTACAATTTTTGTCAAAATTATATTTCACGTGCTTTAAGACAAATTAAATAAAACACGAAAAAAAGTACATAAATTTAACCATCAAGAATAAGCCAATAAAGACTAATTATTTTACTATTTACTCTCTCCTGAACAATTTCTAAAATGTGACAATCGACCTTTGACTTCTGAGGTACAGAATTAATAATAAACTAACAAAAGCATTCAATTTATTACATGTTAAATGTTAACATTTTATTTTATTTTATTGAAATGTTTTACATTTCAATAAATTTACAGTACCACAATGATCGACACCACTGTTTGTTGTCTATTTACTTTTGGAAAGATGTATTTAAGATGCTCTAGGTTTGCTGATGAAGTGTGCGGAGAGAACGCCAACTAGATAATTACTTGTTTCTCTATTCTATGGGAGTTTATTAAATTTATTGGAACATACTAGATTTAACCATGTCTTCATATTAACCAAGCACATGATCAAGACCACAATCATCAAGAAGGCCAAGAAATAACACAATTGAATGCTTAAAAAAGTAAATCTACCTTAGTCAGCTACAAAAAGAAAGCAAACATTTTTTCAAGAGAGTAGTGCTTTTCTTATTTTACAAAACCAACATATTTAATTTAATTAAAATGATAGAAATAAAGATGATGAGGTTAAGAAAGAAAACATTAGGTTATTGAAGCATTATCTTAGAGGGGATTTGGTCAAGTTTGGAAACATAGACAATAGATTTTGTAACCATTCAAACAGAGACTTCAAGCACATATAGTAACTATTAAACTGAATATAACAAACCTTGTTTACCTTAAGCCAAAGTCCAGAAAAAACAAAAAAAGATTTTTAACAATGAGGATAGAATTGCATCTTTGCCTGAGATCCACTAGACATCCTTCTTAGCATCTTAGAAATTGAAATAAATATAGTGAAAATGTTAAATTATTTTATTATAATAGCACATATAGGCATATCAAAGTTTATTACAGAAACAAGTGACCTTTCACACATGTTATTTGTGTAATCAATGTCTAATGGAAAATCATTCCAAATATCACAGGTCTTTCCAAACATTCAAGGCAATTAACAGTTAATGCCAATTTAAACTTTGTTATATCGTCGACATTTCTTCTGCAAGAGAGCCATGGCTTGGCCCAGTGATCAATACAATAAAGTTGCATGCCTCTAATATTGATTTTTTTTTGTCTGATTCAAAAGCATATGTTTCAAGCAATAGATAGCTCATGAATTCCATCGTGCATTTGAAATAGGCCCTGGTTTAGAAAAATGAATTGGGGTAAATTCATTGTGTCTCAATAAGACTTATATCCTTTACATAACAAATCCAGCTCCTTATAATTATTCCTGCCATATTTTCTTTTAATAACTGGCCTGTTAGGTTTGTATTTTTCAATTTAATCATGGTAGTTACTAATCATCTCATTAATGAACCAGTAATTAATATTAGGCGATGTTGATAAAGATTCAAAATTTGAGTTCATAAAATGCTGAAGAACCAGATTGAGAAAATGAAAGCAACAAGGATGATACACTAAACCTGGAACAATTTTTGTCAAACCCTTAATTACTCCATTTTTAGAACCTGTGTTTACTGCAATTATGTCACATATTACAAAGGAAATTTTATTTGATAAATTAAATTCTAAAATAATATTGCGCAACATGTTATAAGTAGAGACAGTTGCCTGTTATAAGATATAACTAAAGATTTAGACTTGCTTGACATGCAACTGCTATAATATGTTGTTTGTCTATGCTCTTACCATCAAAAGGTAATCATCGCATTTCTTCAAAAGAGTCGATATTAGACCACATCACATGCGTCTGAACATATGAGTCCCTTTTTGTGACAAAGCTTAATTCATGCATGTAAATAGTAAATGTTTTTTGGACTGTGGATCTGCAAATCTATGTCTCATTAACTGCATTGAGTACAGCTTCTGCAATTTTTGTAGTACAACTTATTGTATACTCTTCATTTTCAGATATCTATCATTTTACTGGTGATCTTTGCATGTTTCAATGAGATTGTGTAATCATCACTTGTACTATTATCTTCTGAATTTTAACTACTAGAATTGTCTGTATCATCAAACAATTGACTATAATTTCAAGTTCTTTTCTTTTAGGTTGCAGGTCTCGTGGATGTGTTGTTATAGGTTCTGTCACAATACTTCACTGACCTTCTCACCCATTGGAAGTTTTCTGAAGTTCATAAAAGAGTTTTTCTTCCAGATTTTTAGATTTAGATTTTTAGCATTTCTGGGTAATAAGTCAAATAATTTATTCCAGCTATTTATAAAACTTGTCTTCTTATTTGTACTTTGTGTTGATTTAGTAACAAATTTATAATATTGAGTAGCAGACTTTACTTTTCTTTGCACAGATTTCTCCATAAAACATGGTATCGTCATTTTATTCCATAATTGACAAGCTTCAATTGAGATTTCTTTAATAACATCACTTAATCTAGGAATATTACTTAATTCTAAAAGGAATGATATCTTCCTAACATGTGTTTTTTTTAGTTTTTTTTATTTGCATTCACTCCCAACAAGGCTGTCAGCAACCACTATTAAGTTGGGAGTTACTAGGAAAAAAAAGAACAAAGTTATAGGGCAAGGAAACGGTTCACAGAAGACTTGAAATGTTGAAGGTTGTATGAGTCAGGAAAACATGAAGATGGGAGAGAGTTCCAAAGGATTGAAGTGCGGGGAAAAAAAACTAGATGAATAAAAGTTTTTAGAGCATGCAGGGACAGATACAGTAAACGAATGAGACTTAGCTGAATGACGAGTAAAACAAGAATGAATTTAAGTTGATGGAACTAAAGATGATAACTCCTTTGAGCAGTGACCATGATAGTATTTGTAGAAAAGAGAAAGAGATGCAACTTTATGACGATGGGAAAGAGGCTTAAGCTTAGCAGATAGTCTAGGTCCAACAACATTTACAATGCATTTTTGGACCTTGTCAAGAAGAGAAAGTGAATCGTTAGAAGAACCAGCCCAAATATGACAACAGTATTCCATACAGGGGCAAATAAGAAATTTGTAGAGGCAGAGAGTGGAATCAGAAGTAAGGAAATGGCGAGCACGATAAAGAGAAGCAACCTTAGCAGAAGGTAATTTAGCAATCGATTATATATATGGTTTCCATGAAAGGTCAGTAGTAAGCGATAATCCAAAAAGACGTAAAAAGGAGGACTCAGTAAGAGGATTGCCATTCATTAATATAGGAATGTTGACCATATTACGGTAATTGTTTGCAGTAAACAACTGGGTTTTGTTAAAGTTGAAATTCACAAGCCACTGTGAACCCCAATCTATTACTGAAGTGAGATCGGATTCAAGATCAGCTGCTTGTTCTAGGCAATCGAAAAGACTTTTTGTCAAGACAGGAGTATAAAGTTGAGTCATCAGCAAAAAAGGTTTGTCTTACATATTTCGGAAAATCCATCAGTGGCTTCTCAATTAAATTTCCATATATGCGGTTTCTTGGCTTTGAAATATTGGAAGGGTGATCAATTTGTCTAATTAAATTATTTCCTGTTATACATCTAAAATTCAGTTTATTTTTAAATATATACAATATATAATAGTTAAACAATATGATTTATTTAAGCAAATTTTTAAGCTTTTGGCGATACATTAAAATGGATTTGCGCAGAAGGTTTTTTTGGTTTATATAGTTTATTTTTATGTTTTTGTGAGTTGAAACATAAAGTTATAGGGCCAAAACTTGAAAAAAAAAATCTCCCCCTAATGGATATATAAATTTTATGTATGTATATATATATATATATATATATATATATATATATATATATATATATATATATATATATATACACATAAATAAAATATATATTTTTATATATTTTTTATATATTTATATATATATATATATATATATATATATATATATATATATATATATATATATATATATATATATATACTAAGTAATTGCTAGTATTATTGAATATGTCTAATTTGGATACTAATAATATTGCTTATTCAATTGAGCAGTGTTTCTTGATTAGGTTTCAGATGAAAATGAACAAAATATTGCTCGTCTTACATACACCTCTCTTGATGGACAGCAACAGGCTAACACAATCATGAGATCATTATCAATTGACGAAGATATTCTTGATGTCAGCTCTATTAGCTCTGATTCTCAAGACCTTATTGTTAGGGTTGATAAACCCGAGAAGCATACTGAAGGCTATGTTAGCTATTGTGTTACTTCTAAGGTAAAATTGCTATTTATTTTTATAATTTGTTGTTCTAATATTTGTATATTACATTTTGTAGTTTTTATTACTTTTATGGTAACCTTTTTAAGTAGTGAAACTTGTATAGTATAGTTTTATAACTTGTATAATTTAGTTTACTTATAGTTTTTCTTCTATAGTCAACAAGACAAGAATATGAAGCTGGAGAGTATCAAGTTCGTCGTCGATATCAAGATTTTTTATGGCTCCGTCAAAAACTTTTTGAATGTCATCCAACGCATATTATCCCAGTAAATACTTTCTTCTTAAGTTTATGTAAAGTTTTTTATTTGAAGCCATAATAAATATATAAAAATAAATTTAAACACAATTATTAGGCGTTCTTAAGAAGAAAAAATATTATTCTAAACAATAAGTTAACATTGGTTTCAAAAAAATTTTTATTTTTAATTTTAATTTATATAAATTCATAACTTTATTTTAGAATTAAAGCTTTTAATGTGTTAAGAATTAAATGGATTTAAAAATCTAATTATCTAACTAAATAACCAAATGGTCTTCAGAGTGCTAGTTTGCACTCTGAAGACCATTTATATATCATATATTATATTATATTATAATATAATGTAATATATGATATATAACACTTATATATCATATATTATATTATATACACTTATATGTTATATAATAAGTCAACAATTTGAGTAATCTTTGCATAAGTTTTGCGCAAGTTATGCAAACTTCATGCAAACTTAACATGTTACAAAAATTTACTTATGATTTGCTATTATTGTTATATTATAGTCATAAAGTCATTAAATGCTTTTTTGTAATAAATTAATATATATGCATATATATTTAAAAATTAGTGCACTCCCAAGAAGGTTTCAAGCAACCACTAATAAGTTGGGAATTAGGTCATTCTATGCCAAGCAGTCCAATTTCAGAAATCGGCCCCACTCAACCATCTCAAGATTTTATAAAAATTGCTCAGTTTTTTGTTAGGCATGTTTCATGAAGATTTCGAAAATTTTAGATTACAATGTGTTTAATATTTCGGATTTTATAGGACATTTTGTAATACATACTAAACTTCGCTTTAACTCACTAGCTATAAAACACATTTTTGGACTCACTAGCTATAAAACATATTTTTGCAATTAAACTCTTAAATATCTCAAGAACTTGGTTTCTGATTAATCCAAGGGTAATAACAAAAACTTTTTAAAAAAGTTACGAATATGTTGAATTTTTAATCCATGGTCCCCCAAATTAACTAGTCTGAGAATAACTTTAAAAAAGCGATTTTCCCAGGTTGTGGCAATTTGGACAAAAAATTGCGTCGAAGTTGCCGCAAAACTTATTCAACTACAAACTCATATAAATCAAGTAAAAATGTTAATAACATTGATGACATAAATGATACAACTTCTAAAATTTAGAGTGTTAGTTGAACATATATTTATATTTATTTATAGTCTAAATACTTTATGAAGTTGGAATTTTACCTTTAAGAATGAAACTTGTAAGTAAGAGAGATCATGCTGATTATGTTGATGAAAAAATTGGAAAAGTGTAAGCAACTGTTGCTGAAAAAATAGCTTCTGTCTGTGGTTTTTTACCAATTAAAGCCACTAAGCAGTGCCAGTGTGAAGATTGTATTGACTTTTCAAATTTTATATTAGAGTTTTAAGAAAAAGTGTCAACATATAAGTAATCCACTGGAAAAAATAAAAATCAAGACCAAAAATATGTAGTAAATGAACTTTGTTGCTGCCTCGTGGAATCTTGGCACGACCACTAAGAAATACTGCAAAGAAATTGCCAAAATATGTTAAAGAAAAAATGTTAAAATTTTATGAGCATGAGACATTTAACAGAACTTGTTCAAATAAATAAAAAATCTCTCAAATTTTTGTTCGTGTAAAGCTCGTGTAAAGTTTGCAATTTCTCCAAAAAAGCTGAGTAAAAGAATTTGCTTTTTTTTATTCACCCGGCTTTTTGTATCTATCCACAAAAGTGCATATGCAAAAAAAGTTACTATTAGTTAATTTAAAAGAATTTTTTGCAGAGTATAAGAAAGAATATGAAGTTGAAATTGTGTTTTCTAAATTCTGTGAGTTGCGTTCAAAATGAACGCAACTCACAGAATTTAGTATTACCATTATAAATTTGTATTACCATTATAAATTTGTATTACTATTATAAATTTGTATTACCATTATAAATTTGTATTACCATTATGAATTTGTATTACCATTATAAATTTGTATTACCATTATAAATTTGTATTAAAATATAAAATCTCCTTAAGATGGAGTTAGAGGGACTGTGAAGTATTTAACAGCACAAGCTAGTCTTCAGCAGCCAATCAATAATCAAATTTAAACTCCCTTAAATTTATATGATTTTTAAAAAGAAAGTTTGGCAGGCATTACTTTTATTTATATTTGAACAGTGAATTTTAATTATAAGTGAACAGTGTAAAAGGCAATCAGGAGAAACGATTTAATTCTGGAAGCACAATTGCAGGTACCGTAACAATCACAAGTTTGTACCATTAAATAAAAATTAAGTTAGTGTCAGTTGTATTTCAAATCATCTTTTATTGCTAAATTTAATGAAAGCTACAATAATAACTTAAATTAACCAAATTAATTTCATTTTCTCATCTAAATCCTGTTTGTTGCATTTATGTAGCAGATTGATGAATTGGTATTGTTTGTGAAATTTCAGAAAAGCAGGAAGATGTTTTTATTGATTTTATGCATCCTCATAGTATAGAGTAGCATTTTATTACAGTCTTACCAGATCCAATCAATTATGCAACAGGTCAATATTACAATTTACCATCATTTGTTGTTTCAGACATTAATTCCAAATTCAAAGCTATTTTAAATATGTAATTGAAATAATGTTTTTCAAATATTGTAATTCATATTTGCATTGATTTTTTGTACTTTTGTGAAAATCTTTTATTAGAACATTAGTTTTTACATCAAAATATTTTGTTTTTGGCTTAAACAAACCTATTTTTGATGCAATTCGATAAATCTTCAAGGATTACTATGACATTAGGGGAAGGAAAGAAGGGTCTTAGCCACCTATTTTTTTATATATTTTAAAAATAAAATGTATAATGAAATATTAAATATTAAACAAAACTTTGGCCCTCCTAAATAAAATCCTGCACCGTTCTCCTTGATCTTTAAGTTAAGCACAAAATTGTAAAAATATAAAAAGATTTTAAAAAATTGACTTGATTTTTTCTTTTGTACTACAAATCTCTCCAAAATGATTTTTGTTGTTTCTAGAAGTATAAAATAAGCACTTAAAAATTATGCAATTAAAAAAATCTGCTTACATTGAGTTTTTTGACTTATCATTTTAAGGTTTTTCATTTTTGGCGCCATTTTTATTTCAGAATAACTCATCATAGACATTTATAAAAGAGTTTGTTTTTACTCCATATCGTTATGTTAGTATTTAGAACAATTAGACAAATTAACTATCAAAAATATCGTTTTTTCGAAATATGACCTAAAAAAATTTATGGTGTTGTGTTGTTGACATCAGTTGGGGAACCTATAAACAAAAATATAGTCACGATATAAAGCTTGTACAAGTTTTTTGTAATCTATTCCCCCAATTTACTCAGTAACTTTGTTTTTGAGATGTTTTGGCATTTTATTATGAGAATGCCCCAAAATTGCTGAAAAATGCAAATTTTTAGCAACATAATTTAATCAAAGTTTGGATATGTCTTATAAAATGTCCTATAAAACCCATAATAATAAACATGATCTGAAAATTTAGCAATTTTCATAAAACATATTTAACAACAAAATTTTATCAAAAACTGATATGGTCGCCTAGGGACCTCTGGACTACTTAGTGTGGAATGACCCAGTCAAGAATAGAGTTAAAGTGAAAAAAAACAGTTGACAAAAGACTTGAAATATTGTAGGTTGTATGAGTCAGAAAACATGAAGATGGAAGAGAGTTCTAAATGATTAAAGTGTGTGATAAAAGGTTAGGTAAATAATAGTTTTTAGAGCATGAAGGGACAGTTACAGTAAAAGAATGTAATATTGCTTAATGACAAGTCAAGTGAGAATGACTTTTTCCTGATGAAACTGGAGATGATAGCTCCTTTGAGCAGCAACCATGATATTATTTGTAGAAAAGAGAAAGATACGCAACTTTACAGCGATGGGAAACAACTTTATGATAATTAGATAAATAGATAGTTCAAGTGTGAACAATGATAGGAAAGAGGCTTAAGCTTAGCAGATAGAGCGGGTCCAAACAAATTTACAATGCGTTTTTGAAAAAAGAATCATTAGAAGAACCAGCCCAAATATGACAACAGTATTCCATTCAGGGGTAAATATAAGATTTGTAGAGGTAGAGAATAAAATCAAGAGAAAAGCAATGGCGAGCACGATAAAAAGAAGTAACATTAGCAAATGCTAACTTTCCATGAGAGGTCAGTAGTGAATGGTTATTCAAGAAGATGTAAAGAAGAGAACTCAGTTAGAGTGTTGTCATTCATTATTATAGGAATGTTGACAGTATAGCAATAAGGGTTTGGAGTAAATAACTGAGTTTTGTTGGAGCTAAAATTCATAAGCCACTGCAAGCCCCAAGCTCTAACAGAAATGAGATCAGATTCAAGATAAGCTGCCTGTTTTATGAGATTAAAAAGAGAAGATTTTTCTTCAAGTCAGTCAAAAGTGTCTTCAAGAGTGACTTTTATACTGCAGTCAGATAAAAATAATTTGATAATCTCAAAAATTTTCTTAGATACACCATTTGAAGCATGCCAAACTTATCGAAAGTTTTTGATATGTCAAGAACAATAGCCCTTGCCTCGCCACCTGTATCTAATGATGGAATCTTTAAATCAAGTCAGATAAAATAAGCAAATTAAAAACTGTTTTGATTGTCAGAGAAATTTATTGATTAAAGACTCAAAAACTTTGCTAACAATAGAGTTGACCAGGCTGAGAGAAGACTGGTCAGAAGATAGGTGGTAGGGTCAGATTTGTCCTCCATCGGTTTTAAAAATTGTAATCACAGATGCCATTTTTCAGCAGGCAGAAAAACGAGATTACGAACTGATTAAATAGTTTAGAGACAATTTAAGAGAGTTCTGCTGGACACGTTTATAAGACCATGACGGGAATGTTGTCTGGCCACAAGCCATAAAAGAGTTTAATTAAGAAATGAGTTTAGCAACAGAACCCGGAGTGATTTGGATGTCTAACAGTGGGTTAATCTGTTTAACTTGAATAGTAGGAAGAGTTTAAATTATTTTTTAATTCGAGTCAAATTTGAGGACAAGTTCTTTGAAAACAGGTTTGCGTTTTGATTGGGAGAGGTAATAAGATCAGACTCATGTATTAGAGATGGAATTGACTTACCTTTATTAATGTTGAAAATTTCCCAAAAGTGTCTAGAGCCTAACTTCTAAGATAAGAAACAAACTTTAGTAAACTGGAAATAATGGAGTTTAGCATCAGACATCACCATTTTACACTAATGTCTTGCAATAATAAAATGGCATTTTTTTTAAGAGTGTTGGTCTTTTTTTTTTTAGATAGATTTAAGAGGTGCTGAACCAAATCACATAAAAGAATGGTCAGAGGATTCAAACCTGATTTCTTGACAAATAAGTAAATTAATGCATAAGTAAATGCCCAAGCCAAGCATATCATAAGTAAATGCCCAAGCCAAGCATATAATAGAGTCTTTGCAAACCAAGATATAGTAGCCATCTATACTGATATCCGAAGATCTCATGAAGAGCAACTAAATCTGGTGAATTTTGTAGGTAAGATTCAACTGATGAAAAATTACAGCAATGGCCACAGCCCTCGCAATTAGGGTCAGCATTCGACAATGTTGACCTAACTGCTGACCTAAAAGTTTTTGAGATTGGCTAAAAATCCTTTAACAGTTTGAGGTCGGAAAGTTATTTCCAATCTCATTTTTCTTATTCTGAAGTTTTTTCCTTGGCTGAAGTCCATGAATATTTGTGAAAGGCATATTGAAATAGTTAAGTGATGGTAATTTTTTTATGTTTAATTTTTTTGGTTACTTTGAGGATGGTTTAAGTTAAAGAGAACTTGTTTCATCCATAGATAGAGCATAGCATCAAGAATTGAGCTAATCAGTTATGTTATTCCCCAAAATCGTAACTTAAGGCTCTATATGTGGCCTTGATAATGCACACTAAAACCGCTAACAGAGACACTATCCATGCACAACATGGTTCTGTTAATACTCTGATATTTTACAGCTGTTAATAGAATCATTCTCTCTGAGAGTTACCTCAGAGTTTGGGAAATCTTACAACCAGCAGGCCTCAGAACTATTAAACTGAGTATTAAAGCTGTACCCTCATTAGGAGGTAAAAGGAAAAGTTGTGTGAAATAACTAAAAGTTTGCACTAAAAACTGTTCAGAACTTATTTAAAACACTCTGTTACCTGTAACAAAGCATTGGAAATAAATTCAGATAATACTTGTCCACACTTTAATCTGTTAGTATATGTGTATTTTGTTCCACCTATTGTTATTTTAGTATAATGTTATGAATATTTATTTGGCATTACAATGTCTTAATCCAGCAAAAAAGGATATTTATAAAACCAAACAGAAAATTATTTTAAAATTTTTTTGTTAAAATTTTTTTTTTACAAATCAAAGTATTTTTTCACAGGTTTTTATGTGTTATTGTTTTTACAGGAGTCTAAAATTCTTTTATAAGAAATTAAGGAGTTCATTGAAATTTCTATTTATAAATGTTTTGTTTTTGATAAAAAATTTGTTTTATTTTTGTTTTCATTAAAATTATTATTTTAAATAATTTTTATTTTTTAATTTTGTTAATAGCCTCTACCAGAAAAGTTTACTTTCAGCAAGCACATTAAAGACAAGTTTGATTCAGACTTTTTAAGGACTAGACAAAAGGCTCTGCACAAATTTATGAATAGAGTTGCATTCCATCCTGTGATATCTTTTAATGAAAATGTAAAAACATTTTTAACTGCAAAAGCTTGGGTAAGTTATATTAACCATGATTCCATTTTTTTATTAATTATGTTTTATAAAACATGTTTTTAAATGTTAAAAGTAAGTTTTGTAACTTTAAACATATTTAAGTTTAAATTATTTGACAGGAAATGACAACAGCACGTAAAAATCAGTCTGGCACTGCATCGCTTATTGGTGGTAGTGTTCGCAACACAGCTGCTCAGTTTTTGATGAAAAATCGTAGTGAAGAGTTTTCCGATGTAATGAAGTACAATGTGCAGTTCCAAGCAAAAATTAAAACATTTGCAAACATTACTGAAAATATCGCTGAAGAGCAATTTTGTAAGGAATTTGAAAAAAAAATTAACATATTTATTGTTTAATCTTTTAAATTTATTATAAGCAGTGTTTTTACCTTGAGCATTCCCTATACCTTATTTATAATTAGACATAGTTATTATATAGCTTGTAAATTGAAAAATTGGTATGAAAAGTGTACTCTGAAGATTTGAGAAGAAATATGAAAAAAAGCTTAGTATAGTATTTAATAAAGTGATCAAAGAAATGGTCACACAATCAAACACAAAAGAAATCATGATGTGTTGAAATTCTATCAGGAATCATGATGTTTTTAAATTCGATCAGGAATCATGATGTATTGAAATTCAATCAGGAATGGTCACACAATCAAACACAAAATGAATCATGGTGTGTTAAAATTCAGAAGTGAATTAGATTTTTGAAAAAAAAGCTTTTTTAAAAAAAGTAAATGTCCAAATAAGACACAAATTAAAACCCTTAAAATATAAAGCAAAAGGAGTTGCATATATTAGATGAAACCAGAGTATAAAGTGAGATACTAAATTTAGAGCACAAGAAAACAGAGTACCATAAAAGACAATGTAGCAAGCTAAATATTTTTTTTTTTTTTTTTATTTTTTTATTTTAATTCACCTCCTCAAGGCCGAGAAGGCCACTACAGACGAGGAGGCTACTTATTTGTGGCTATAACCCTCTCTCAACTCTATAACTCCGAAACACAAACCTTGATGAACAAGGCCGCTGCGCGGAGAAACGAGTTGAGCGCGGTACTACCAGGGACGTGGTGAGGATCGAACTCCGAACCACTCGTTTATGAAGCGAGCGCTCTACCACTACACCACTACCGCATTTAGTAGTTGCAGAGTTATTGGCAGTTACATAGACATGTTTACCAAATTCAAAACTAAAATGAAAAAAAATAGGTAAAAAAAGTATAGAAATAAGTTTCAAAAAAGATAAATAATTAACAAACTTTTAAAGCATGTCACTAAAAAAAAAAAGAGAAACTTTCAAAATAAATTACTAACACATTAAAAAATCAAAATAAAAAAAACATATTAAAATATTTAAATAAAGTATAGTTGTTATAATAATATTTTTATAGCGTTTTAAAAAAAGATATAAAAAGACTTTATTCATCTAACAAGCTAAAAAATCAGGAAGAAAAAAGTTTATAACAATAAATGGTTAAAAAGATTTGCTTTAAGAATAATCCAGTCTTGTCTAATAGAAAAACCAATGTTTTGTTATGGCTGTATAACGAAAGTGAGGCTACTTAGTTGTAATAAAGGCAGCCTTCCTTAAAACTGATTTAAAATAAAACCCCTTTAAATTTAATTTTGGAAAAGGGAAGTTTTTAAATCTTGCATGTTAATCTTCTTAATTAATCTGCAGAACAGGTTAATGCTTTCACTCTTCCATAATATTATTTATAAATAAGAAATTGGAAACTTGTCCTTTCCATGCAAGTATGGAGCCATCCCAAACCCTCACTTGATGTAGCAGCATTCTTTGTGGAAGCAGGCTAAGATAGTCAATACATGTACTGAATTCCCCAACAGCAGTTGGGGACTTCAACTTCACTTTGAGCTTTACATGTACTGAATTCCCCAACAGCAGTTGGGGACTTCAACTCCACTTTTTTTTTTTTTTTCTTGGTCTAAAAATTTATAGAACAAATTCAAATTATATTTCAATTTCAATTAAAATTTATTGAACGTTTAGATATATATATATATATATATATATATATATATATATATATATATATATATATATATATATATATATATATATATATATATATATATATCAGTGGCAGATTCAGATTCATCATAGATCCAGCCTCCCTCACTCCTTAGGCCAGTCAATTGGTAAAAATATGTTTCTCATTATTAAATTCTGCGTTTATTTTAAACAGAATTAGAAAAATAGGTAACAACAAATCATCGTTTACATACTTGCTTTTCGAATTTGCTTGCATTTATGGTAGAAAACAAAACAGAGATAATTTGTTTTAAGAAATTATCTTTTATATTCATAATGTGCACAGCCAATACATTTTAACATAGATGTATCAAGATTTTCATAAAACTTTTTTCGATTTTTGTAAAAACTTACTCATAGTTAGATGTATCAAGGCTTTTATAAAACTGGAATTACTTTGCAAACAGTCAACAACTTTATTTTTAAAGGGGAAAAACAAAAAAAAATATAAATTACCTGATTTAAATTTTGTGAACAATTTAGGTTTGTTTTTATGAGTTAAAAATGTTTTCAGCAAAACCTGTATGCCATCCCCTCCCCACTAGAAATATACTAGCCCTACTTTCAAATAAGTGTACGCATTAATATCTCCAGCAATGACGAAAAATGAAAGATGTACCATTCTTATTAGAGAAATAGATGACATCATGTTTTCCTAACTTGTTTATGCTCTACGAATTGGGCTTGACTCTTCCTTTTTACACCTGTTTATGATGAGAGAAGTTTCAGTAGACTTAAGATTATCAAAAATAATCTTTGATCAGCAATAAAAACAATTTTTTTTGTCTTTTTAGATTGAAATTGATTTTAATCAAATGTAAGCTTGCTAAGAGCATTGACTTTGAACCATCAATGAATCATTTTACTTCAATCCAGCAAGCACAGACATCCATAAGACATCTATACAACGCCTTATAGAAGTTATTGCCTTGGCCTTGGGGCAAGAACATTAATTGCATTTTCTTAGAGCCATGTTTTGACAGTTTTGGTTGATTACAGGTTATACCTTTATGTATTGAATACTTAAATATCAAGTTTCCTATTTTA